CCCCCCGCAGGACGTCGGGCAAGTGACAGCAGAATAAAATACTTTAATGTCTGCTCTGGGGACCCTGCGCCGTCCACCCTGGTGGCACTGGGCTGTCCTCGGTCCCTTCAGCGGCCCCTGGACACCGTCACCGCGAGTGTCTTAGAGCAGCCCCCTGGAGCCGGGCAGGCCCCGGGCTCTCTGGCCTTGGGGACGTGTCCCCAGCCGCCACACGGCGGGCGAGGCTGGTCGACGCTCAGCTCGGAGCCCAGATGTGCGAGGGCTCGGCTCCCCCGCGGCCTCCCGGGCTCTTCTGCCGCCGTCGCCGGGGCTGGCTGCCCTTGCTCAGGGGCCTGGAGTGGCCGCTCTGCAGCCGCCGCACCATCTCGTGGTCCTTGGGGTCCAGCACGCGGGGCAGGAACAGGGAGGACTTCTGCGTGCGGCGGGTCTTGAAGCCCCGGCGGGGCCGGCCCTTGCCGTTCACGGACACGTACCACAGTCTCTCGGCGCTGGGCGGCCGCCGTGTCCCCGGGCCCCCGGGCACCGAGCGGTACAGCCGGGAGGAGTAGGTGCTGTAGCCCAGCTCCTGGATCCGCTCCACGAACTCGCACTCGGCGCTGTAATGCTCCTGCGGGCGAGAGGCCACGTCACGGACGCGGGAGGCCACGTCAGGGACGCGGGAGGCCACGGAGGCCTGCTGCGGCTGGGGCTGGGGGACCACCCCTCACGACACCCGTGTGGGTCAGCCCGCGCCTTCGTCCAGCCTGTGCCCTCTGCTCCCATGTCCCCCCGCCCCTGGCCTGGTGATCGTGGCCTTGAGGGCCGGGCTCCGAGTCTCTTTCTCCACCAGGTCCTCTGAGCACCTTGCCCGCCCGCCTCTCCTCTCTGGGCCCTCCAGCAGCCACGCCCCACTGACGCACCCACAGTGGGGTGTCCTGGCTTAGGGACAGGCTGCGGGGCAGAGACGGGACCTTCCCACCCAGGGGCCCTTGGCGGCCTTGAGGTCAGCAGGGACTGGACAGCTGGACACAGAAGAGGGGGCACCCAGAGCTCTTTTGAAGAAATGGCATAAAGGACAAGAAGAGCTGGAGCGGCAGCAGGCCCTGTGGTGTCACCACTGGGGGTGACAGGGGACCTGGCTCCGCTACAAGACAGATGGGAGAACCCAGCACAGGGTGTGGCTGGTCTTCAGGAGCCGGTCTCCACTAGGGGCGGGTTTGGGTCCCCCGGCCCTGGCCTCTGAGAGGCACAGTCCTGGGCACCGGGTGCCCCCCACGAGTGCAACCCGCCTGGAACCTGGTCAGAGGGGTGTGCTCGGTAAGGACCTGGACGCTGCTGGTCCAGGGAGGAGCCAGCAAGCAGAGAGGAAGACACTGTCCTCAGAGGCCCCTGGGACCTGGGCCAGGCCCGGGAGGGACCGAGTCCTGCCTCCACGGCACAGGGAGCCCTGCGGAAGAGCTGTCGCCAGGGCCGCGTGCCCTTCAGCAGCACCGCGCTGGCCAAGGGCACAGAGGCCTGGCCACCGTCCCCGGCCTGCAAAGCCAAAAGGCACTTGAAGAGATGTCACCAGGGCTCCCGAGGCCCAGCCACAGGGACTGCTGCCGGTGGGGCCTCCCTCTGTGGGGTGGACGCCGCGGGGGGCGGGCAGGCCTCAGGAGACCCACTGAGGCTTCAGGCTCAACCCCGGGGGACAAGGAGCACCTGCCTGGGGTCCACCACGCTGGGGACAGGGCAGGGCAGGCTGCAGGACCTCCTTTTCCTAGGGAATGGCCAGAGAGCAGGGACAGGGCCCCAGTGGCCATCGCCCTCTGGGGTGTGGTGACCCCACACGAGTGGGAGGGGGCAGCTCTGGAGACAAGGAGACCCAGAGGACCCTGAGCCTGTTTCAGGGTCACAAGCTGTGGGCCAGGTCCAGGAGTGGGCAGCATCTGACCAGGCAGTGACCGGGGCCAGAGAAGCCAGGATCGGGGTCAGGGGAACCAGACAGGGGCCACCACACCCATCATCCAATCCCTCCCTGCCCTCCTGCCCCCTGGAGATGCCCAGGACTTCCTGCGTCACCACATGGAGTGCCCTGCCCAGGGCCACCCCCACCCCCACCCCCGTTTGTGGTGAGGAAGCAGAGGCCAGGGTGGCACCAGGCCCCAGGGGACAGGGCATCGTCTGGCCTCTGCCCGACCCTGCACAGGTGCTCTCTGGGGACCCAGGGACTGGGGTTAGGGCAATCCTGTCCCCCCCCCATGCTATGCCAGCACCTGGTCCCACACAGAGACCTGTGGGCCTCAGGGCCAGAGGCGCAGGCCCTCCCACGCACAGAGCACCTGCTGGCACCTGTGACACTGGGTAGCCAAAATGACCAGGGGGGGCCAGAGCCACAGACTTCAGACAGCCCAGCTGGGACTCGCTGGCAGCAGTGGCCAGGCCTGCTCTGGCCGCTGTCCCACTCAGGCCCTTCTCCAGAGCCATTGTACCACACGAAGTGGACTCGAGACACCTGGCGGACAAGGCGTGGCTTGGAAGTGCCGGAGGGAGGGGGTGGTTTGAGGAGGGCGTGCTGGGAGGGTCAGCATGGGCAGGGGCACACCCGTGTGGAGAGCTGAGCCGGGGGCGCGGGAGCTGCAGGCCAGGGAGGGAGAGAAGGCACGGGCACTGTCCCTCCCAGGGTGGAGCCGGGTGCCTGGGGCTGATCTGTGGGTGAAGTGGGGTCCTGGAGGATCCTAGGGTGACCCCTCAGCATGCACCTGGCAGAGTATGCCATCCGGTGAGTGTCAAGGACACGGATGAACGAGGCTGGATGGGCGGCTGGGTGGGGGAGGGAGGGTGAATGGGCGGAGAGAGGTGGACATGGGCATGTGGGTATGGATGGCTGGGTGGGTGGCCGACTGGGTGACTGGGTGGTGGCTCCAGGGGAGAGCAATGGATGGACGGCGGGTGGACATGTTCATGGAGGAGCAGGCAGAGGGTGGGTGAGTGAGTGGGTGGATATGTATGCCCGACAGGGTGGATGGGTGGGCAGGTGCACGCAGGCAGGTCTGGGTGGGTGGACAGGTGAGGAGATGGAAGGGTGGATGACAGCTGGGGGGACAGACGGGTGAGTGGGAGGGTGGCTGGCTGGGCTGCAGGACAGGCAGGCTATAGGCCAGACATCTGGTCCCACGGCTGCTGCCGCAGCCCAGGTAGGAAGGAACAGGCTGGTGTGCAGACGCTGTCCCCTGGGAGGAGCTAGAGGGGGTGGGTTAGGCACTGGGGCTGAGAGGGGTTCCAGCTGACTCCAGGCTGGAATAGTGGCTATGGGCCATGGGTGAGGTAGGGCTCAGGGGCCTGCTGAGCTCCAGTGGGCTGTGCTGCTCTCTGCCTGGGGTCTCTGAGCTGCTCGGCTGTCCCAAGGAGGGTGGCGATCTCTAACTCAGAAGCTGGGTCAGGCCCTGGGGATGTCGGGGTGCCATCCCATGGTCACCTGCCCAGGAAGTGGACGAGGTGGCCGGCGGAGGGGAGAAGGAAGGCCAGCACATCCAGGGCACCCAGGCAGCAAGGGGCAGGGGTGGGGGTGCAGTCTGCAGGAGGAGGGGAGGACAGGCTGGCCCCCCAGCTGCCTCCCCCTGCAGGGCAGTGAGACCCTTTCTGCCGGGTGCTCTGGAAAGTTCCATACCCTCCAGCTGGATTGCCAAGCCATCCCTGGCCTCGTGGTCCCCAGAGGGACTGGACCTCAACCCCTCCTCCCCCAAGACCAGGGCTGTGAGCTCTGGGGACAAGACACAGGTGGCCTCTCACCCACGGGATCACCAGGTCAGATGGGTCCCTCCCTGGAGGAGTGCTTTGTCCTCCTCGGCCAGCCTCCTGCTCTGCTCTGGGGAGTTCCCTGGTGGGGACAGGGGGCCTCCTTTGTGGCCAGGAAGTGCCACTAGTAAAGGCCACCAGACCTCCTCCATGGGGTGTCCTTCACTCTGAGAGGGAGGAGCAACCATGAATGATTGATTTCAAGGATCAAAGTGAAGTTCCTCTCTCTGGAGCCAGGGGCTTGGAGTTCCAGGGAGCCCCAGTCCCCCTCCGCTCGAGGGACAGCTCAGCAGGCCCGACCCCCCCAGAGGACCCCAGCAGAGAGCACGTTCTCATCACTGAGCAGGGAGCAGGGTAAGAGCTTCTGCTTCCAGACACAGTTTCTGGCCAGAGGCCCTGGGCCAGAGAAGACAGGCACGTGCACCCAGGTTTGCACCTCCTCTAGCAAATCAACTGACCACCCACAATGGGATCACCAGGCTCAGAGGCAGGGAGCGGTGGGGTGCTTCCAGGCAGAGTGGGGCAGAGGGAGGTGACTACCTGTGGGGAGGGCTGCTGTGACCTCTGGCCTGTGTGAGGTCTTAGTGCTCAAGGACAACCGGCCAGTGGCACGCGGTCATTAGCTGAAGGGGCAAACTTCCTGGCATTTCACACCAGGCGTCCCCTGGACGCTGCCCACAGAACCAGGGGATGCGGTAGGCAGAGGGGATGGTGCATCTGGGCTGGGGCGTGGCCTGGGACAGGGCTCCCTCCTGCTGTCCTCTCAATCCCCCCTAAGCACCGACAGCCCTGGCTTTCCCACTCCCTGCCCCTTGGCTGGCTGAGCCTGCCCTGCTCCTCCCGGAGAGCTCTGTCCTGCCCAACAGAAGGGCTTTCCACGGGGACGCTCTGGGTATGCTTGCAAGTTTGCTTGGGTCCATGAATTTCAGTGGAAATTCGGGGTCCACCTCTCCTCTGCTCTCAGCTACCTTCAGAGAAGGTCGTAACAGTAGACAACGAGGTGTGAGTATTCCCAACCCACAGAACAGAATCCCAGCAGGACCCTCCCTGCAGGCCCATCGGCTGGGGCTGCCTCCCAGAGTTCTGGGTCCTGCACATCCCGGAGCAAAGCTTTCTAACACCCCCGTCCCCTCTGTCCTCTGAAGTGGCGTTCCAGCGAGACGGCTACTCTATCAGTGCCCACCCATGCAAGAGATTGGACTCACCGAAGCATAGAGCCGTCCCCTCTTGTTCATGGCCAGGTACCGCCCAGAGAAAAGCCCTTTGATGGCCACGACGCCCACCTCCACGGCGGTTATCTCCAGGATGCCTGGGAAAGTGGGGAAGGCCCATCACCGCTCCGCCTCCACCGAACCAGAGGAAGCTCCGTGCACCACCAGCCCAGGACGGTGAGGTCACCCCACACCCCACAGGGGGTGGGGGCCGGAGGTCCAGGGAGGGGAGAGTGCTGCACTGGAGAGGAGAGTGTCAGCCACCCAGAAGGGTAATTCAAGCCCTGGGTGGGATGAAAGGTTGGCACGGGTGGATAATGTAACCCCACCGCGGGGCCACCCAAGCTGAGTTGGGACACCCGTGGACCTGGGTGGGAGATGTCCCAGGCAGAGGGTCCTTGGATACAGGAAGTGAGGGGGAGAGCCAAATCTGGAGCTCACAGAGGGATGCTGGCCAGGGTTCACCCACCAGCCACTGCATGTCAGCAGTCAAGTCACCCTGGTGCCTGTCTCTCCAGACACTAAGAGAGCTTCCAGGGGTTAGGGTTGCAACAATAGTTCCCAAGTGAGGCCATGTCCCCAGCAGAGTTCCAGGGTAGCTGGGGCTACCTTCCACACCCTTTCCAGGGCACCTCTCCAGGGCTAGTGCCTGCTGCCTGCATGGGCAGGACATCCCCAAAGCAGGACTAAGTTGAGGGTTTGCTCCCGGCATGTGCCACTGCAGGTCTCTCAAGTGTGCGGCACACTCATCAGTCTCCTCAGCGCCAGCCCAGGGACCAGCAAAGCAAAATGGGTACCCTCCTTTCCCTCTGGGCGCCCGCTGGGTTGCACCAGGAAGACTGGATGCTCTCAGATGTTGACTCACACTGGATTTGGAGGGAACCTGCGCGGGGGTGTCTCTGCAAGAAGAGTCCTGCGCAGAGACCCCTGGCGACTGTGGTCCTCCCTGTGCGCTTAGATGGCGTCCTCCACAGACGCCCTCGCAGGGCTGCGGCTTTCTCCCGGAGGAAGCTGCGGTTTTCCGCTACCACCTTGAACTGCGGCGCAGCTTCCTGCGCCCAGGGCAGGAGTGGAGCGCCCCGCGCCTAAACTGAGGATCTCAGCGGTCCTGGCACCCTCCCACGCTCCCCGCTGCGGTCCTTCCGGTCTGAGCTCTGCTCGCCCGCTCCCCTCCCAGCAGGCTGCTTAGACTCCCAGCTTTGGCTCTGCGCAAGAGGGCTCAGCACCGGCCGCAGGTCGGGGGCTAGAGGAGCCAAGCCACGGAGCCTGGGGGACTCCCGCAGTGCGTGCAGTCCGACTTCTGGTCCTGGGTTCGGGGAGGGTGTATTTGTATCTCTACTTACCCCAGACCCTGGAGGACGCCCCCTGGCCATCGGGGCCTGCACCCTCCGCTCCCACCCCAAAGAGGGGACACCCACACTTCCTGCCATCCCGGGAGCAAGGGCTGAGGCCGAGGGGTGCAGATCCGAGCCCAGGGAAGACTGACGCAGCGGCCCAGGGACCTAGCTCTGCCAGGCGAGTGTCCTGCTCGGAAGCAGCGACTGGACGCAGCCACCTGGGCGGCCAAGAGCCTGGAGGGCAGAGGGGAACTCGTGTGCCCTGGGGTCGACAGGAGGTGGAGAAGTCGTCAAAATAATAAAGAGAATGATAAATGCCTTGTCGGGCTCCTGTTCTCCACCAACTCAAAGGGCTTAAACTTGTCAGAATTGCCAAGCGCAGCGGAGCGCGGAGCCCGAGTCGTCTACCACGTGCCCCCTCTGAGCTCCCCGCATCGCTGGCTCTTCGCCCCCACCCCCAGCTCTCCCCGGATCTCAGAGCCTCGCTTCTTTGCCCGGACGTGGCGGCGGATGTCCCGCGGCCGCTCTCTGGCGGGGCGCAGCTTCCCACCGGGACCCGGCCGCCGGGCACTCACTGTAGGCGCTGTTCTGCAGGCTGCCGTTGACGCGGCCGCTCGGGTGCAGCTCAAGGTGGTACTTGGTGGCGCAGTAGAGCTTGCGGCGCCGCGGCGCTCCGCCGAGGTGCTCGTACACTCCGCCGGGGCCCGCCGCGGGCCAGCCGGGCTCCAGGAGGCTGAGCAGCAGGAGCCAGATCAAGCCCATCGCGGCATCGCGCCCGCCCGGCGGCGGCTGCAGGCCAGCGCGGTGCCCATGGAAGGCGCGGCAGCCCGGCCGCGGCGAGGCGCTAGGAGACGGCTCCCGCGCCTGGCGGTGCCGACTCCGGCTCCGCGGGAAAGAGGGGTGGGGAGAGGGAAAGCGAGGGGGGTGATGGAAGGGAGAGGGAGAGGGGGAGGGAGAACCTTTAATTTTCACCCAGGAGCGGGGAAATTTCCGTTGCTGCGCAAAGCTCTGGAAGAAAAGATGGTTCGGCAACAAAAGGCCG